GTTTTAAACCTTTTTAACAGTTATAGCGCCACCTATTGTCCGATCTCCATAAAACTTTGCATGCTTGTTCATGATGTTATGTCACATATGCTCACCAATTTTTGTGAAGATCTGAGTTTTTTTAAATGATTTATAGGCTTTTGAGTGTGTTTTGACAAGCCCCTTTTTATAAATGATCATGTTATAGCAAACCAAAGGGCAAATTTCAACTTTTTTTCAATAATTATTGATCTAGAGAGTCCAGAGAATTGTTCTAGACTGGTCTGGTTCCGATCGGGCAAAAAACCAGGGACTAGTTTGCAAAAGTAGGTTTTTAACATATTCGTGAATATTTAATGAACGATTTGATTGACAGCAATAGTTCAAGAGGCAAAGTTGTTCAGCATGAGGAGATCTATCAAATGATATGCATTTTGTGGGGTTGTGTGCAACACCACGTGATTACAGAGCCGTAAAACTCGTTAGCGCCAACTAGTGGCCGATTTCTTTCAAAACTCTTACAGACCTCTTGGGCCATGAGTCGAACATGCCCATCGAGTTTCGTTCCGATTGGCCTCCGTTAACCTCGTCTCAAATTCATTGGTCGATGGCGGCCATGTTTTTTGAGATACGTCAATGTCCTTATACACATACATGGGGCCTTGGACCAAGACACTGCATACCAATTTTCAGGTCAATCGGACTAACGGTCAGCCATTTATATGTTTTTTTCATGTTATAGCGCCACCTAGTGTTCGATCGTCGCGATTTTTTTACTGTGACCTCAGATTGAACTCATTCACATGTGTACCAAGTTTGGTGAAGCTATCTCATTTCCTTATTGAGTTATAGCCATTTTAGTAAAATAGGCTCCTCCCACAATGTTCATTTTGCGCCCCCTAGCGACCGAAAATCGAAATTTCAACTTTTTTTCAATAATTATTAACTTTCAGACTCCAAAGAACATTTCTGCACTGGTTTGGTTCTGATCGGACAAAAAACCAGGGACTAGTTCGCAAAAGTAGTTTTTTGACAAAATTCAAAATGGCGGAAAATCTATATTGGCGGAAATTAAATCGGAGATATACGTTTTTTTCGTCAGGTGACCAGCTTTCCAGTGATATAAGACACTTGAGTCTACGACGTACGGTCTAGGAGTTATGAGCAGTTTTGCGCAATTGGTTGCTATAGCGCCACCTATGGGCCAATCGGGCTCATAATTTGATAACCTCTCCTCGATTTTTGTACTACCATATGGCAAAGTTTCAAGTCTCTAGCTCTTACGGTTTGGGCTGCACGATGCGTTTTACGGCGGAAGAAAAATAATAATAATAATAATAATTAAAGCTGCAAGCAGCATTTAGCGGTGTTCAAGCAGTTAAGGCCTTTAAGGCCGTTAAACACATAAGCATTTAAGACATTAATTTTATTTAGCATACATTTAACCACTGACATAATAGATGGAAAACACCATTTACAGCCAATACAGGCAATTTACCATAGGAAATATATGGTTTTAAAGCTTTTTAACAGTTATAGCGCCACCTATGGTCCGATCTCCATGAAACTTTGCATGCTTCCTCACCATGGTATGACACATATTCTCATCAATTTTTGTCAAGTTCTGCGTTTTCATTTATGATTTATAGGCTTTTGAGTGTATTTTGACACGCCCCTCTTCTAAATGACCCTGTTACAGTGAACCAAAGGGCAAAGTTCAACTTTTTTTTGATAATTATTGATCTAGAGAGTCCAGAGAATTGTCCTAGACTGGTCTAGTTCCGATCGGGCAAAAAACCAGGGACTAGTTTGCAAAAGTAGGTTTTTAACATATTCGTGAATATTTAATGAACGGTTTGATTGACAGCAATGATTCTAGAGGCAAAGTTGTTCAACATGAGGAGATCTATCAAATGATATAGATATTTTGGGGATGTGTGCAACACCACGTGATTACAGAGCCGTAAAACTCGTTAGCGCCAACTAGTGGCCGATTTCTTTCAAAACTCTTACAGACCTCTTGGGCCATGAGTCAAACATGCCCATCGAGTTTCGTTCCAATCGGCCTCCGTTAACCTTGTTTAATAGGTGCTTAAACTTCATTGGCAGATGGCGGCCATGTTTTTTGAGATACGCCAATGTCCTCATACAAATACATGGGGCCTTGGTCCAAGACACTGCATACCAAATTTCAAGTCAATCGGACTAACGGTCAGGTGGCCACACCCCCTTTCATGTTTTTTTAATGTTATAGCGCCACCTAGTGTTCGATCGTCGCGGTTTTTTTACTGTGACCCCAAACTGTCCTCTTACACATGTGTGTCAAGTTTGGTGAAGATATCTTATTTACTTCTCGAGTTATAGCCATTTTAGTAAAATAGGCTCCTCCCACAACGTTCATTTTGTGCCCCCTAGCGACCTCAAATCAAAATTTCAACTTTTTTTCGATAATTATTGATAGTCAGACTCCAGAGAACATTTCTGCACTGGTTTGGTTCCAATCGGGCAAAAAACCAGGGACTAGTTTGCAAAAGTAGGTTTTGGATAAAACCGGAAATGGCGGGAAAATTTGCATACCTACAAAAAAATACTTGGGGTATTTTTTGTTCGCCTTGAGCCAAGGATTCCAATGATATAAGACACTTGAGTCTGGGACAAAGGGTTACTGAGATTTAAGCAAAATAGTGAATTTTTTTAGTTTTTTGTGCTATAGCGCCACCTATGGGCCAATTGGGCTCATACTTTGATAACCTCTCCTCGATTTTTGTACTACCTACTGGCCAAGTTTCAAGTCTCTAGCACTTACGGTTTGGGCTGCACGATGCGTTTTATGGCGGAAGAAAAATAATAATAATAAAAATCCTTACAATTACAATAGGTTTTCAGCACTTCGTGCTTGAACACCTAATAATTCGTTTCTTTGTTATCGGTAGTGATTTGAACAAACCCCTGACCTTATTGAACTTTCACACATAATCTGTCCTGCACTTTTTATGTTACAGACATGAATGACACTTCAAATCATGCAGATTATTGAGGTGAAGTCTTATTAGTTTTATAAGCGATGGGCGATTTAACCTTTTTTGGTGATATAAACCACTTAGCAATGCCCTGTTAACCACTTAAAACACATTATTATTATTATTATTATTATTATTATTATATCAGATGGCTTACGTTGTTGATAAAGAAAGACTTTGGTTGATCTTAAGCACATGTTGCCTGTCTTTAACTGTGGCTGTAAGGAAACTTTTGTTTCATGAATTTGCGTTTGTGTTTAGTCACTTTCAGAACTGGACTTTCATCACTTTAACTGCTAATGATCTCAAATGACTGTTTTTAATAAATGAGAAGTTTTGAAGCAGTTGCGCTGTGATTTTATCTGTGTGCTCAACGGACAGTGTTAAATCAGTTTCGCAACACCTGTGCTCGTGTGAGGGGAGTGTTAGAAACTCCCGCTGTGTATTCCCTAAAGTTCCCAGCATCATGAAAATGAAAGATTAAAGTGTGACGCAGATGCGTCTGTGGTGAAGTCACGTTACAGCGTTGCTTTTTATTAGCGTAACTGTGAACGATCACATGTACACACAGAGAATCCAAACACTTAAGATTGTTACTCAATATTGATGTTTTTGTTGTCGTGTCAGTGCTTCTTTAATTATGTGTGCTGTTTATGAAATGCAAATACAGTTTAAAGACTTATTGGACAGTTATGCTGCTTAAATGATTGTGTGTTATAATATCTTAGTCAATGTAATAGATAGATAGATAGATAGATAGATAGATAGATAGATAGATAGATCAACAGATTGTGATGTATTAACCATAGAGTTTCCATACACTCTCAGAAAAAAAGGTACAAAAGCTTTTCAAAAGGTACACTTTTGTACCTAAAGGGTGCTTATTGGTACCTTAATGGTGCATATTAGCACCTAAAATGAACATATTAGTACCTAAAAAGGACAAAAGTGTACCTTTTGAAAAGCTACAGCCCCAGTTACAGTTTTTTTCTGAGAGTGTATGACGTCAGGTTTGTATCATGGAAGGAGACTGAACTTATGTCACTGGTAATGCAAATGAACAGGAAGAGTTTATAATTCAGTTGTGAGTGGAAACCCACATTCATCTCTCATCCCGTTCAAGACATTTACCACAGCAGAGCTGGCAGGTAAGATATTACCAATCTCTCGTCATGTGATCAATTTATTACATACATACATTTGACCTGCAATAACCGAAATGTGAGTGCGTGCATAATCTGTTTAGTTTTAGTTCATAATTGTGCATTCTGTGCACAGCTGTTTCTGAACAGTGTCTGATTTAACACAAGTAACATGCACTTTTGACAACATGCCAGTTTTTTTGTACACTTCAAAGTGTTATAAAGTGTGTAAAGTGTTGTGTTCCCTGGTTGAGCAGGTTTAGCTGTTTGTGGTGTAGTCTATCTATCTATCTGCCTAATTCTGTGTAATACTTGTAATACTAATTTTGTGTCACACTTGCATGACTTAGTTGAGAGCAAAGTTCGAAGAGAGCAAAGTTCAGGTATCATACAGAATCTATAATATCAGCTTGTGGAGTGAATTGAGTTGGCGAGACTTAAACTATGAAACTTCGTGTGTGTGTGTGTGTGTTGGTGGAGGTGACCTTTTCTGCTGTCTGTGACTCATTGTGAAGAAAACAGTGAAAAAAGCACTGAAAAGCCTCTGGAGATTCAGATTTTCCACCAGAATTGGCAAAAAATTACACTGATACGCTCTGCTAACTGCATAACTTAACCCCCCCCCCCCCTCATTTTATAACTTAAATGAGCGTTTAGAAATAATCTCTCATTTTCTATTGTCTATATTTTCTATTTTGTAGAGCTTTACAGAAGTAGTCTGAGGCTATAGTGGATATGAGAAGTTGAAATAGACATATTTACATTTTTGGTTTGATGCTCTGTATGTAAAGCTTGTTTTGCAGAAAACGTCTCGGCTGACATTAACTTCTCTGTTTCCGCCCTGCAGGTGCTCAACAGGAAGTCTGCTGTCTTATTTTCAGTCTTCAAAGTCGAGCTGACAGCTATGAAACTCTTTCTGCTGTGTATTTTTGGCTTCAGTTTAGGTATGATGGATTTCCCTGCTCAAAATATAATCTAAAGATTCCCTCACAGTTTCTTGTTCAGATTAAGACATATTTCTCACTAAACACCCCTTGTGTTGTTTCCAAACTCATATCATGCTTTCGTCATGGTGGACCATTTCCAGACTTTCTTTAGCATGTTGTATCACTCAAAAGTTTGGGGTCGTTAAGTTTTTAAAGTCAATCATTTTATCCCTTAAAACTCATCTTTGATCACCAAAATTACATATTTAAAAGTTTTTTTCCTTGAAAAAAATGTCTTCATGTTTTAAAATAGCTTGAATGTAACTCTACATTTAGTATACGTGGTTCGTCAGAAACGCCAGCGATTTCAAACCGTGTTTTTGAGACTGTCTTTGGTTCACTGCAGTTTAAAATACTCAGCAATGCTGTCGACTTATGAATTTACACATGTTGTGTCTTAAAGCATATTAAAAACACCACATAGACATATAAACAACATTAAAACCTTGATTTTCACCACAAGGGGACTTTAAACTTTAATTCAGATGGATTAAAATAGTATAGTAAAAATATTACAAAAGATTTATATTTCAAATAAATGATGTTCTTAAAACTTTCTATTCACCAAAGAAAAAAAAAATGTATCATGGTTTCCACAAAAATATGAAGCGGCGCAAGCAAAAATGTTTATTGAGCATCAAATCATCATATTAGTATAATATCTGAAGGATCATGTGACTCTGAAGACTGGAGTAATGATGCTGAAAATACAGCTTTGATCACAGGAATAAATTACACTTTACTATATATTCTTTGATCAAGTAAATGCAGTGAACATAAGAGACATCCTTCAAACGTTTTAAATGTCAAGTTCTGCACTTTTAAACTGCTTTCTGATTGGTTGATGCAATGCACCAGTTAAAGAGCTGCAGCTGTAAGCAAACTACTGCAGCAAAGCCACAAACCAGGAGTTTTGAGTTCAGCAGGACAGTTTCACAAACGTGTTATTCAAATGTTGTTAATCATAAAAAGTGCTCAGTTTATTTACATTGTTTCACTATGACTGTAGGACGATACTAAACTTCATGAATCATCATGAAATAGATGATTTAGACTTAAATTGTGTTTCATTCCTTCAAATTTTGCAGCTAAATGCCACGAGAATCGATATGGATTGAAAGGAAAATCGATCCGTCTGAGCATCAGTCCTGGAAACCAGTCAGAAGTCGTATGGCGACGATTCGACAGGAAAGTGTTGCTTGCATACTTAGAAGACGTTTCACCTATTTTTAGTAGAAAAATAAGTTTAAACCTCTCAGATTGGTCTTTGACCATACACAACCTTCAGGAAAATGACACTGGACTTTACGAGGCCGTTACGAAGTGGCAGGATACAACTCTGGCTGAGTTCAAACTTACAGTGGAGAGTAAGATCCATCCTTCCATCCATCTTTATTTACACACATGATGTAGTAGTAGCATTTGAAGTGGATCTAAAAAGCTCATCAAAGTCGTCCTAAGACAAGATTGGGTATTGTTCAAAATTCATGTATAACTTTGATGAAAGGATTTGATCCACTTTAGAAGGGTTAGTTCACCCAAAAATGTAAAATGCTGTCAGTAATTACTCTCCCACATGTTGTTCAACCCCGTAAGACTTTCGTTCATCTTCGGGACACAAATTAAGAAATTTTTGATTAAATCTGAGAGCTGGATCACTCCTCCATAGGCTTCTTAAGGGATCGAAACTGGCCAGCCCAAAAGTTATTAAAGACATCGTTAAAATAGTCCGAGTGACTACAGTGGCTCAACCTTAAGTTTATCAAGCGACGAGAATACTTTTTGTGCGCAAAAAACAAACAAAAATAACGACTTAATTCAACTATTCATTTCCTTCTCTGTGGGCCTCGAGTGAGTTCCCGTAGTGTAACAGCGCAGCGCTTCTGGGTTGTACGTCACACGCAGGCTCACTATTGGCCGACGCTGGTCATGTGTGTGATGCGAAAAAGTATTCTCGTCGCTTGATAAACTTAAGATTGAGCCACTGTAGTCACTCGGACTATTTTAACAATGTCTTTCATAACTTTTCTGGGCCGGCCAGTTTCGATCCCTTAAGAAGCCTATGGAGGAGTGAGACAGCTCTCAGATTTAATAAAACATTTCTTTATTTGTGTCCCGAAGATGAACGAAAGTCTTACGGGGTTGGAACACAATGAGGGAGAGTAATTACTGACAGCATTTTCATTTTTGGGTGAACTATCCCTTTAAATGTTGACTCCTGTATATATACTTCAGATGTTGCCTCTAACTCATCTTTTTCCAGACACTCTCTCAGAGCCTGAAATCGAAGTGAGTGCCCATGATGTAAATTCGTCTGCCGGAGTGTGTCGGGCCGCGGTGAACTGCTCCATCGATGGCAGCTGGGCCTCGTACGACTGCGACCAGAGTGTGTGTGTGAGGACACAGGCGTCTCAATCCTCCATCGACATCTCCGTCACTGTTCAGGACCGCAGCCTCTGGTGCCGCGTCAACAACCACGTCAGCAAGAATCATTCTCAGGCTCCCAACATTAAGTGTAAGTTTATTTAATACTCATCTTGGTTCGTGTTTCACACTTCAACACATTTGTAAACCCAGAGCTAATGTTCTTATTTGCATATTTCTGTAGAGCATGCAACGAGTGTGTGTTTTAATAGCTGTCACATCTGTGGAAACGTGGTCATGTAAATCCCCTCTGGTTTCTAATGAAGGAACGTGGAGGAGTGTTTATAACACTGTCTGAAGTTAATAACCGTTTCCTTCAGATGCTGAAAATAATAGTTTCCATGGCTTTACAAAGTGCAACACATGGTAAACATGGAGGCGGTTGATTGGCTAAATGTCGGCATTATATTTGGCAACACAAACTGCTTGATTGTTTATATCATCACAAATATGTGTATATGTGTCCCAATGACTATCCTAACACCCAAGTGCCAAATGTGAACAGGCATTAAAGTATTGCAAATGTTCATGAATTCATCATATGAATGTAATCCGGACGTTGTTATTATCATGTGACCTACCAGCGTCGGTCGTGTCGCTTCACCGGCATTCATAAATCCTGTCCTGTGGCCTTATGGGATAGTGAAGTATCCATCGTATGAACACTTCAGAATCTCACCAGAAGAAGTATTATAAGATAAAATAAGTAAGGGATAATGTACCTCCAGCCGGTTGTTATCTCAGAATAAACCCTGACAGGGTGATCAGGATCAGGTCTAGCATCATCAGCCTGAAGGGGTTTATTCTGAGATAACAACCGGCTGGATGTACATTATCCCACTTATTACAGGGCTACTTGTCACATAATTAAATAATTAGACACGAAACATTGATCTGAGTTGAAAGACTTTATTAGCTCTTTAAACGCAAAGCTTCCGCGGAGAGAGCAGTCGCTAGCGCGGCAGATTCAAACTAGACGGACATTTAAAAGACTTATTACACAGCACTTCGCCACATAGATAATTATGGAGATAAGAGATATTGATTTGAGATGAAACTGTTTTAAAATCGTAACTGTTTGTTATCTTGTAATCCAGTGTTCGAAACAATCGTCGTGAAATGGCAGCAGCTGTGTTTGTATGAGACAAGAGAGAGCGAGTCCATGATACCGGATGACATAATTCAATAACTGTACACAAAATATTAATTTGACTGAGTTTTAATATTTTATTAGCTCACCAAACGCAAAACTTCCACGAAGAAAAACCGTTCCTAGCAAGCGCATAGCACTGCTGACTTCAGTGACCCGGATGAGCCTGTCCTATCTGAATCAAGTATTCCACAGAGCCGTGTAATAATATCATATAATATCATATAATCCTAGTGTAAATGGCGGTTTTGTTGTTGTTTTTCAGTCTCCAATGTGTGTTTTTAGAAATGTTAATATTTTCTTTTATCTTGTCTTGTTTGCAATACGATTTATCTTCAGGCCTTCAAAATTAAATAATTTTATTTTGTTTTATTTTACATTTAAAGTAAAAAAAGCAAATATAAAATGAGAGTATAAAATAACAATAATAATAAGGCAGCAGCTATTTGCATTAAGTGCAAACTAAGTGCAAATAGCAATAGATTATATTTACTCTATGTAAAATAGCAGTATTTTCTTTGTAAGTGTAGATCAGTGTAAATAGTTAGATTCTATGTATACTTATAATTACACTTATATATACACTTATATATAGCTCAGTGTTGTTGTACATTAAACAGTATGCAATAACATAGTGTAAATTATTTTATTTACTTATATATATATAATATATGTATATAAAAGTATTAAAGGGATAGTTCACTTTGAAATTATTTTTTGGCATGTTTTAGCTTACCTCAAGGGCATCCAAGATGTAGGTGACTTTGTTTCCGCTGTAGTTTCAATTTTGATATTTTTAGGTCAAACCGTTCTTGTCTGTCAGTCATATAATGCAGGTCTATGGTCACCACCTCAAAGAGCATGCACAGAGAAGTCCAAATTAAACATGATTTAATGACTCGTAAATGTAAGCACACATTGATGGCCTAAGACACGAAACGAGCGGTTTGTGTGAGAAAACGAACAGTATTTATATCCTTTTTACCTCTTGTTAACACAGCCACGTCCAAGTGATCTGAGGGCGCCGGCGCTTCGGTCTGCACAAGCGCCGGAAAGCGCCGGTAGTGATCTCTTCCAAAAAAATAAAAAAATAAATTCAACGTTGTCTGTTGATATATCGAAATCGTCTTCCATTGCGATTTCCTGTATATCTAAATATGTTTAGATCTTCACAGTGAAAGGTAACACTTCCGAAATCTCTGTGTAAACAATGAGTGACGTACACGCGCGAGAGATCACTTCCGGCGCTTTCCGGCGCTTGTACAGACCGAAGCGCCGGCGCCCTTGACCTAAAAATATCAAAATTGAAATTACTGCATAAACAAAGACACCGACATCTTGGATGCCCTTGAGGTAAGCTAAAACATGCCAAAAAATAATTTCAAAGTGAACTATCCCTTTAAATAGATGCTGGGTTAAGCCTCGTACACACCGGGACGAATATCGACTCCCGTTATTCGTCAGCGTTTTTCAATGCGTTTTTTGTGTTCACACCCAAGCGATTTTCGCTGACGATGAGCCGAGTGAACATGCAAATTCATTCCCTGACATTAGATGGCGCTTAATGTAAAACAGAAATACCCCGGTACACAAACTGGCGCTGCGCAACTATGCTTCTGACACTCGCTTGTCACTCAGAAGAGAGCAAGTTTGTCGCGTTTGTCATATAGTTCTTTATTGTCGTTGGTGTCTCTTTATTAAGACACCAACAAGACCAGCAGCTCTACATTCATCTAGCCTTGCATCTTCCTCGTCTTATTTCTTCCCGGCAAAGTGTAGACGCTGTATATCTTCTTCGCCCTTACGTATGTGTGCTCGGCAAGACCGTTTTGTGTTTGAGCGCCCCCAAGTTGTGTTTTACTGTAACTTCAGAAGCTCCAGACACGTGAGCAAAAGCGCCAATCTCATTGGTCGGATAGTTTTTGACGCGGCGCGTCAAACCAAAAAAACGAACCCGAGGCGGTTTTTAAAAAATGACGCTTTTACGCGTGGCGTTTTACGCGTCGGTGTGCACACTCACATTGGCGCCCATTGTTTAGTCACGAGGCGTTAAACGTCGGCAAATATCGCACGCGAAATTCGTCCCGGTGTGAACAGGCCTTTATTGTGACAATAAAGCCCTCCCTACACCTGCCATTAACCGATTAAACACACGTTAAACACTTTTACAATATTTTCTCGAAATAAACGCTTTTCTAATCTGATAATGTGATGGGAGTAAACCGAGTTCAGCAAAAGGTGGATTCGAACACGGGTCGATTTGAACTTTCTGTCACGCACCTCACCGCTACACTATTGCTACTGTTGACCAACCAGTGTCTTCTGTAATCTAGTGGCCCAATCAGGCGTCAGTGGGCGGAGTCAGTGTAAATAGCCTCTGCCAATAAGCCGGGCTTGTCACACTTAGTGTAAATAGACACTCCATACTTGTATAAATAGCTGTTTTGTTGTTGTTTCTCTTTCTAAAATGTGTTTTGATATTTCTAGGCCATGAAAAACTGCAAAGTGATTTGCCTTCTCCACCAGACCTCATCTCTTGGATCGCCGTCACCGCTGGCGTCGTTGTTGCGTTGGGATTGTTAATGGGTTTGATCGTAGTAGTTGTCAAGAAAAGAAACACTTCAAAAGTTCACCCGCAGGTATCAGTCAAATTCTCTCTCGCAAATGCAGTTATTTCTAGTGACTGTCCTTATGTTTTTTTTTTAAACTCTGTTCTTTCTCTGTATCAGTCCAGTCATGCTGTGACAGGTCGTGACATGAATACAGTGATTGAACAGCATCATGAAACGGTCTACAGCACAGTGGAAAAGCCAGGCGCATCCCAGAATCCTCCAGGAAACAACACTGAAGCAACCATCTATGACACTCCATCACGACATGTATGTTATGTTTTGCTGAATCATAACTGTATAGAGAGATTTGACCTTTTTTAATACCTGATAATACCAGTTTAGATGCAGTGAAACTCAGTTTGACCTGTTTATTTGTTGGCTTGTGTCTTCCTCAGCCCAGGGTCTGTCAAATAAACAGTGTGACGCTAATGACAGAGAACCAGGAGCAACAGCGATCTGGACACGACAGAACTGTTAAAGTAAGAGCTACAGTACACAAGGCAGAAGAACCCGATTCAGAACAAATAAACACTGTATACTGCAAACTAGGAGAGATATGACAGATACAGATACTGTACACGTCAGAGACACCACCGCAATGGAGACTTAAAGGAACACTTCACCCATTTCAACATTAATCTTTATTGAAAGTGGGTCATATATGTAGTCGAAATGTAAAAGAAATTTTGAATTTGGTGCCCTCTTGACCGAGAAAAGACAGAAAATAACTTTGGGCGCATTTGTATGAAAGACAACAACTCCCACAATGCACCACATTGCACAGCTCCGCAAGCCACTCCCACTACTCCAGAACAGTGCAAACATCAGATAAATCACTCGTCTACAAGGCTAACGTGAGCTGCCACCAGAGTTAGAAATTCATTTCACACAAATTGTATAGTTAGTTGGCTGTGGCGAGCAGGACGAGGACGAGGGACGTGAGAGCGACGCGAGGCCGGTGGCGTGAGTGATAATGAACGACACCTGTGAGACGCACCGGTCTCTCTCGCGTCTCTCACCGAGGAGCGGACGCATAAAACGAGGAGCGACGACAGTCCAGATCGAGAGAGGAACAGGCCTGATTTTATGGTGTGTTTTGTTTCTGTTGTGTGTGGCCAGCAGTGCGGGGCTGCTGGCTTATACTTTTGTTTTGTATTTGTTTATTTTACTATTAAAATGTTTAAATGTTCGCCGATTCCCGTCTCATTCTTCCCACAACAACGAACCCCGTTACATTGGCAAACTCATTAGCGAATTACTCCTCGTTTGTATTTCTTTCTATATGGTGAATTATTTCATGATACCTGGATGTTCAGTCAGAACATATGCGGTGTGACACTAGGATTGTTCACATCACAACACAAACGTCCGTGTGGTCGTCTGATCCAGAGATTTCGTCCAGGAGAAATTGCGATCGTTGAAATTCTCTGCAGCAGACGGAGTCTATCTGTGTCCGTAGCGTACAGCGAGAGCACCGGCTCCATCAGTCCGCCCAGCTCGAGCCAGTCCGGGCTCCTCGTCCGCTTCAGTCCGCCTCAGTGCGAGCCAGTCCGGGCTCCTCGTACGCGACAGGCAGCCGCCTCCTGTGCTCCTCCTCAGCCTCAGCTGCTCTTCACTGTATTGCGGCTCGTAAAGATAGCCACGAACACCGGATTCGAGCAGCAGAATTTCAAAATCCTCTTCTTCCATATCATGTTTAGTTTCTTCCGTCATTGTCGTAACTTCCTATCTCCACAGCGCTTGTTAGCTTAGCTTCCAAACAAGATGGCGGATATTGCTTTCTGTATCTGCAAGTGAAGTCCCACCCACTGATCTGTAATAGGTCTGTAGCGTGAGTGAGTTCCACACCCTGAATAAATGATGAGCTTGTGTTTGTAGTCTCTACACTTTTCAATGAAATTTATCTTCCGTCCTATCGTGACGCAAAATGACGATATTTACGTCACGATAGGACGGAAGTAAAACACTTAAATCCTTTTTTCTCCCATCTCAGAAAAAAAACAAGCAAAATTCCACCATCATTATAATATATGACTGGGTTTCTAACAATACAAACCTTAATGCAAATGGGTGAAGTGACCCTTTAAACCACAGAAAAAGGAAAAACTGTACATTTTGTGTGTTTTTAATACTGAATACTGAATAGGCATTATATGGGCATAATGCTTACTGCATACTGTGCAATATACACTGTATGCTGCCGGCTAATTTTATTAAATAAATAGTGAACCAGTATGCATTACACTCTTAAAAATAAAGGTTCCAGAAGGAGGGTTTTGTAGCGATGCAATTCATAGTTTCCAGTCACGTGACGGACACCTGGAGGGCAACACATCCAGAATATGAACGCAATGTGTTAAATGGTTACGTATTTTCTTTAAAATGGTTTTCATTGGATATAAGCTCAACAAGAAACTGTATTGTGTTTATATTCTGGGTTCATCTGCTTGCCTGTATATAGTATGCATCATCAATAAGGTGTATATTGAATTTGGTCTTTTAAATATCACTGTCTTAGTACTTATGGTGCGTTCACATGCTATGGAAAATATGATATTTTCCACTTGTGAACTGGTATTTACCAGTGTGTTGCGTTCAAGTGCTTTTGTTGTCGTAATGTGGTAAAAAGATGGAGATCCAGACCTGTTATTTAGCTAAAACTATTTTAGATTGCTTAAGTCATCTGCTACAGCAAGAAGATGATTTATCAAAAGTCAAACGGTAAATAATATGCTGTGTATTTTCTAGATCATGAATAGTACATATTTTTACCATTCACGACTCTCGCGTTGCTCTCCGCCATTTTGAAAAGGTCAAAGGTAATCTCATCTCGGCAACTCGTGCATCAAAATATTCTACGATCTACCCAGTGGAAAACACCACATGAGGGGGTGTTCATGTGCATTTTCCACGTCGGCTTTTGCTGTTTACCATAATTACCATAGCACGTGAATGCACCATAAGTACAAACCTGGTAAAAAATGACTGGCGGGGAAAAGGAGGAAAGCCTCGCTTTGCCCTCCAGATGAGCATTTATATAAGGGTGAGTAACGTCATGTGAAAAACTATCAATAGAAGAACCATTTTTTGAACAGTTATTTTTAAGAGTGTGTGAGGTGATTAATTATACATTTAAAACAGTCCTATATCGTTGAAGTCATTGTGTAGCATGTTTATACAGCATGTTTTTTTTTTTTGCATTTTTTTATTCCATTTTGTGTAAAAATGTCATAATATTTGAAAATTTGATCAAATGATGAGTCAAGGAACAAATGTTAATATCTCGTTAATTCATCACGCTGGAAATGAAAAGTTAAGCTGATTGTAGGATACGTTATCTTGTGCAAATCTTTGGCAAATGCAGTTATTGGTCATCCAAGTATTTAATGCAAACAGATTTGCATACTGTGTGCACAGTGTACATACTGCAAAAATATTGGTAGTATGTTGAAGAGAATCATGGATTCTGCTGTTACACAATCTCTCAAACGCACTGCATGATGGTTAATATTTCTGGTGCTCCGGTTTGAATGAATCTCATTTGCTCATTACAGTATGTGAGTGGACAACTCTTTAATTACAAATGGAGATGGAATATTGTTATGTAATGTAATACTAAATGGTTATATTTTTGTAAAATAAAGGCAATAGCTGAGTAATTTTTTTGTTTATTTGTTATTTATTGGCTGCACTCGTTTAATTTAAGGAAGATGTACAAGATATAAAAACTGACACAATCAGTTTGAAAAATAAAAGCTCCAGAATCTAGATTGTGATGTATTTTAGCTAAATGAGGGCATATGATAAATGATTTCCGCATAAACGTTGTGGTTTACACAGGAAGTTCACATTTATTTTTGGAGAGTGAAATAAGTTACTCAAATCATTTTTTTTTTTTTTAAATGCCATGGGGAAAATTCAAAGATATTCAAAATATATAATTTTTAAATATAAAGGTATGTATAAGTTGAGTTGGAATAATTTAAAAAAGTACTTTAGTTTGTCTTACAGATTATATTTAAGTCATTTATCTTTATTTTACTAAGTGAATGATGGTGTTCTTAAATTCGGGTTTAAAACAAACACATTTCAGAGCAAATAATGTTTGGTTTTGCATTCATTGAGTGTTCTGATTATGATTAATCTATAGACAGATAATAAATGTGTCTTATAAACACAGTTACAGCATCATAAAAAAAAAAAACTAATGTTAAAAAGTCAAGGACAAACAAACTAAAAGGACTAGGACTAAAGCAACACTGATCAGTGTAATGGTGACATTAAAGTCCACATGAAGCGAGCTCCGCAGAAGACTTCCCTACTGTCAAAGCAGCGCTACGTCACGAGAGTGTGGAGACTGTGGACTCGTAGGACGACTGCGAGTGTTTAGGGTGCCATTTGGGACAGGGCCTTTGTCGACTGGAGACCAAGTTTGGTTTGAAGATGAAAAATGTTCAATGTTCTCTCATCATTCCTGGTTTCTAACACACACACTCGCAGTGTTCGGCTGGTCTTATGGCTGTCAGAGCTGCTCTCTGGACAAAAGAGACGAATTAAAACACCAGGTGTAAACGGCTGTGTGTCTTGTAATCCGATCGACCAAAACGTATCTCAATACCAGCTGTAAACAAGGCCAAGGCTGCTGGGAGAGGTGTCAGTGAGGCCACAAGGGGGCGCTGCTCATCCTGAGTGGGTCATAACAGCCCAGTGTAGTGTTCAACTGCACCTGTGGTTAATATCAACCACAGTCTTTCTCAGAAAGATAGAGGTGTATCCCTGGTGTAAAATAGTCCCTACATCACGTCACATCCCCCACCACACACAACCGTTGCAGGGAGTTAGATTCACTTACTTTATTTAGGTCATACACCTTGCGTGGAACCACGTAACACACTTCTTTGAATAAATCCAGCATTCTGGGTTTATTCAGGCTTTAATGTCATAAGCACACACACATATTCTGAATATATTGTATTGAACTAGTCTGTACCTTTCATGTGAAACTATTAATTGGTTCAGTTCTTACACATCATTAATAATTGTCATCCATTATATTGATCACACACTAGTTTTTGCATTTACTTGGTTAAAAATAGTTTGAATTGAATTCCATCACTTATTCTTTGGTTTAAGTTGACTCAGTTGTTGATTACGGTTCCTCTGGGCTCAGTTAAACAGCACATTTTAATCGTAGAAATTATTTTTGACAGCCATAAGTAAAATATAATGATTTTAATGAAATACCATCATGCCAGCAATGTTTAAAAAGCGTTTATAAAACGCTATTACAACAAATTAGGTAGAAATGAAACCTAAACTACAATGAAAAGTATTGACATTAAGTTTGCTATGTATTCGTCAGAATCACGTTGTGGAGCAAAAGCTCAACTAGTGATCAGTTGTTATGCAGGTCAGACACAAACCACTTAAAACTATTTTATTAACATGTATAATTGAAGCACAATGCAGTGCAGGCATGAATGCAAGAGTAACACACAGTAAATACAGAAAGAAGACACTAAAAAACAAGTACAAAGCAAAAACAATCACACAATGAAACCAGATCGTCTGTATGGGGACATCTAGTGGACATCGAGAGGATAGATCCATTCATATTTATACATAATACGATAGATATACAGGTTTAAACTCCAGAATTAGCTTGTAGAATATTTACAAATGTTTTGCTATTTTTTTTATCTTATAGTATTCAGAATTCAGTAATAACATACATAATACTATAGTAATCCCAGTAATGTTAGATGAATAATGTATATGGTAGTTAGAAGCATTACAGTTATTTCTCTAGACTTTCTAACTTTATATGCCACTAACAGGGAAAAACTGGCCTTAATTGAACATTTCAACCACATTAAAAATGGCATTGATGAGATTTCTTTTACAACTTTTTCAGACTTTTCCAGATTTCGTGTTAATCGTGTGCTGTTGTGCTGACCTCAACGGACACAAAACATGTTTATATAATGTCATGATTATGCATATTTGCTCATTATGTTAACTAAATTAAACTATATGATTAACAATAAGGGTAATATCTCCAATTCACCAACTTTTGGTACATATTTGAAGCACAACATTTAGTTTTGTGTCTCATCTGAGCATTCGTCATATGACTAGACTCATCAACAGCACCTGAAATAATGCACAATAATACAAGTATAAAATCAGATTTTTTTGTAATTGCATGACATTTGTGATATATTGTGATATTTTTGCCCTGTTTTTAGCTTACCTCGTGCACCTTAACCTGTTGCGATGGTCAGTTTGGAGTAAACCGTGTCAGAACTCTCACCGGTCTTTCCTACAGACGACAAGAGTTGAGTCTTTACTAAATGACATCACTATTTACAACAATTATTTATGTATGCATTTATATTACTGCATCATGTCACAACAAACAAGCAGAACATGCAGCGCAGCAGGTCCGGCATACCTTTGTTTTCTTTCTTTTTCTTCTTCATTCCCTTCACTGGTTTCAGGTCAATCTCAGCATAGGTCACATCCGAAGGCCCATTCACTGTGTCTGCATCTGAACAGAGTGAGTGAGACTGAGTCTGTTTCTGCTTTTACTCTTCCAGTTATTGAGTTCTTATTTTGTTATCCATGATGGAAAATAAAATTTAACCATTTTTGATAAACTACACCCTTTTATAGGTCAGTTAGATCATATTTAACTCTATCTATCTATCTATCTATCTATCTATCTATCTATCTATCTATCTATCTATCTATCTATCTATCTATCTATCTATCTATCTATCTATCTATCTATCTATCTATCTATCTATCTATCTATCTATCTATCTAGATAACATTATCTTCAACTATTAAACGCTTCCATCGATCAATATCGTGAAGTTTGTCTGTATATGTTTTTTTGAGGAGGTGAGAGGAACCTTTGTTGTGTTTGCAGCGCCACAGCAGGACCAGTAAGAACATGAGCAGAAACAAGACGCTCAATCCTGTAGTCACTCCAATGATCAGAGCAGGAGATCCTGATGGTCCCGGTCCTGATGTTCCTGGAGATCCTGATGCTCTCGGAGATTCTGATGTTCTCGGAGATCCTGATGTTCCTGGAGATCCTGATGGTCCTGGAGGTACTAATATTTAAAATAAAAGTTCTGTAGGTCAAATTAATCAAATCAGTTAAGGGTAGCTAAGCATCTGCAATTTGATAACTTAGATTAAATAATTTAATTATTAAAATAGCTGTTGTTGAAGTTACTTATCAGAGCTACATATATGGAGCACATTACATTAAACATTACTAACACTTCTCTGGCATTTACAGTTAAATTACTCACTGCTTGTTTTAATTTTTAACATGTTGGTTACGGTTTCTTATTTGCGGACATTTTAACTCATGAAGTGAAGTTGATCTGAACACACTCACCTGAAAGCGTCAGTGTAACTTCATCACTGGTGTGTGTGTGTCGTGATCCTCGCGTCTCTCTTCCACTACAGCTGTAATGACCTGTGTGAGATTCACTAACTGAACTGATTCTGTATTCCTGTGATCGACTGACATGAATCTGTGAATCATCTTTCTTCCAGCTGTAGGTCCAGCTAGTGACGTCTGTCTCCTGTATGTCACATGTGAGAGTGACCGTCTGTCCTCTGAACACTCGTCCGTCAGGCTGAACACGCAATACAGCTTTGGGTCTCTCTGGGAGAAATTAACTGTGTTTAATTTAACTGATGATACTGTTGATGGACGACATTAATTTACATAATATTCCTATTATTAAATCAGATTGCCACATTACCTCTTACTGTTAGCGTGACTCTTTGACCTTGTTTTTTGGGTTTTTCTCTTAGTACACCACAACTGTACTGTCCTCCATCAGAGACTCTCACATCTCTCAGTGTTACTGTCTCATCACCAGATTGTATTATCTGGAAGTCTTTGTACCAGATAATCCTCAGTCCAGTTGAGTGTCTCACGTCACAGCTCAGAGTAACTGTGTCTCCAGTGAACACTGAACTCTGGGGCTTCACAGTTACTCTGGGTTTGTCTGTAAATATTTCATGATCTTCTGTTAATATACAGTCTTCAGTCATCATCATTTATACTTAATGTGTCTTAATTTGACCTCACCCTTCAGCTCATGAGTAATAATTGTATGGCTGTTTTATGTTCTATGAGAGCTAAATATGTATACATACAGATCCTGAGAGACAGTGCTTGTAAAATCAGATGCTTACTATAACTCACAGTCCACTCTGTCTAACATGCAGCATCTAGAAATGTTTACTAATACAGTTTTTTTTAAGTTGCAGTTTATTAATTGTCCATGCATCATCTGAGCAAGATTGTGATGTCAGTAATGATGATCACTCACCCGACACAGTCAGAGTCACTTCATCACTCCAGTGAGAGCAGACTGATCCTCTACAGCCGAAACACCTGCACTTCTGTCTGATCTCTGCAGTGATCTTGCACTCTTTCTCTTTAGAGTCGTGCTCTCCTCTATCATCTCCACACTGCCATCTATATGTCGATCCTTCCCCCTGTATGTCACATGTGAGAGTGACAGTCTCTCCTCTGAATATCTGGGATGGTTCAGGCTGAACAGTCAGAACAGGTTCAGGTATCTCTGGAATTGAAGAAACAGAGGTTATGATATACAGTAGCATCCAAAGAAACCATTACTGAATCGACTCGTTCTGTCCTAAACTCTAGGTCACTGCACATGCAAAGATACACTGTTAAATTAATCTAATTGTTTACAGGTTAATAATTAGTAATTTCACAGTAGGACTTCTCTTGCTTCTGCACCCTCAGAAGTTTCATGTAAAATTTACAGTACTTTACTGCTATTGTAGACAAGTTTTTACAATTGTACTTAAAAAAACGTGGTTTTACTGTGAGTTTACACTATCGGACAGCAACAAATAAAGAATAATACTGTCAACCAACAACATCATACTGTATTTTTACAGTGCATCACCCAGCATGCAATGCAGCACGAATAGATTATGCTGAATCTTTTTTAAATACTTGTTGCTTTCATCTGTGCTGCTGAACTCCCTTTTGGCACACTTTTACAGTTTGTGTTGTTAGTTTATTTTGTAGTGTTGGTTTATGTTGGGTGTTTTTGTTGTTGTTGAGCGTCACCATTGTTGTGTTTTGTATGACAAGTATTTTTTGTCTGTGCAACATTAGATGATGCTTATTAGATAAATAATCTTGTATTGCAAGATGATATTACATCTTTTAAAGATGCATTTCAGCAGTTGCGTCACTATTGTAAAAGATCCATCTACAAACAGGTATGAATTTTAAATAAATTAAAAATCCTTATATTCATGATAATAATAGTTTGACTTAAAATCAACCAAATAATAAAAGGATACATTTTAATAGGATCAAGGTCCAAGATCCCAAGCAAATTGAATGTAATTATGGTGACTTCAAAACAATTACAGTGGTAAACAATTATTTCTTTTAGCAGCATGGTTAGAAACGTTATAATGTGAATTCACAGTAAAACAAGGGCTCTAAATTGCTGTGATGTTTGCATCATTCTCATTTAAATGATCCAGCATGCACTGATTTCACAGTAAATTTATGACTACAGCAATTTAATACTCTCTGATCCTGTAAATTTACTCGTGTAAATCCTGACAATTACCGCTGCCTTTACAGTGTAAGATAATAGCCACTTTTTTGGCTGAAATACCATCTGATCAAGATCCTGATGTCTGTCAGTGATGATCACTCACCCGAGACAAGAGTCACTTTATCACTCCAGTGAGAGCAGACTGATCCGCTGCAGCCGTAACACCTGCACTTCTGTCTGATCTCTGCAGTGATCTTCAACTCTTTCTCTTTAGAGTCGTGCTGTGTATCATCTTCATCTTTCTCTTTAGATGTGTGCTCACCATCATCACACAGCCATGTGTATGTCCATCCTTCCCCCTGTATGTCACATGTGAGAGTGACAGTCTCTTCTCTGATTATCTGTGATGGTTCAGGCTGAACAGTCAGAACAGGTTTAGGTCTCTCTGTCTCTGTAACTGATAAGTTGTGATAAAACACAAATAAACCAAGATAAGTGAATAAGATTGAAAAGAAAAGTGAAAATGGCAGTGTGTGCATTTCTTGTCTATGTCCAGTAATTGTGCAATACAATTAAAATATCAATACTGTTTCTCAGTGGCGTAACATTGTTTTAAAAAGTGGGTGGGAAATGTGTGTATAAATGAATGAATCACGTGACACGTGAATAAAAACATAGATCCGACTTTAAAACATGTGTCCTTTAAAGGTCCAGTGGTAGAACTTTTGCCGAGCATGTCAGATGTCCATGGTTCTAATCCGCACTCATATAGTTTTTTTTTTTTTTTTTTTTTTTTTTTATCAAAACCGAATATGTTTTCAAATATAGATATGAATATGGAAACAAATCTACATCTACAGGCTGCTTCACTTTTAGCTTAGACCACAGGCTTACCTCCCAAAGAACTAAAGAGCAACAACAACATTTTCCAAATAGAAATGTTTTATTTCAAATTAGAAATTAGGCCTAGCCTATGTAAGAAGGAATATAGCCTATACAAAAAGTCCTGTAAAATTAAACGAATAAATTGACCTAATAATATGAATAAAAATTATATAAACAAAAATATACATAAACGTTTTAAAAGTAAATTAACTACTAGACCAGAATGTTGATAACTGAATTTTTGCGCAACACGCACGTTTAAAATTGTACACACAAACTGCTGTAAAATTAAACAATAATAGGCCTAATAATGTAAATAAAAATTATATAAACAAAAATGTAAAAAAATATAGGCCTACATAAACATTTTAAAAGTAAATTAACTGATAGGCCAACATTTTGATAACTAAACTTTTGCACAGCGCGCACGATTAAAATTAAAATATGCTTATATCAATTGTACAAAAAAATTGCTGTAAAATTAAACGAATCAATGGGCCTAATTATATCAATAAAAATATACATTACAGGCAATAGGCCTAGGCTACATCAACGTTTTAAAAGTATGCTAAATGAACTATTAGGCCAAAATTCGTATAACTGAACTTTTGCGCAGAGTGCACGTGGATTACAATTACAAAAAGAAAGAAAATGAATTGCTTTCCTTATCTACAGTTCTTTTGAGTTCACCTTCAAGAACACAAGTTTGGGCGATGTCTGAGGCTTCAGACTCATGCGGTGGTTGCGGAGGAAACCCTCTCTGCGCTCGCAGACCCGCTTGGGATGCTGAACACAATGCGAGCTGCTTTAGCCAGGCGGGGAAAAGACTTGTGGAGTCAGACTCGTGGTGTGAGCGGAGCGAAATTAGAGCGGGAAATAGGGCGACGCTCCGTCCTTTTAAAAATGCCGCTCTGCGCTCTGTCCAAGCTCCGCCCGCTCCACTCCGCTCACATGCTCTGCACCGGAACGAACAAAGAGTCTCCGAAACGGATTGAAGCGCGCGTGCATGTGAAAACTGTGCGCGAGATACACTGTAACCGCGACACCGATCGTTGGCGGCAAGGAGCACTTTGATCACATGATTTAAAAAACAACGTATTTTAGGGCTAGATCGCTTCTTTTATTTAACAAACGAACGAAATGAATGGTCTGCCAGTTGGTGATGTTTTATTTATTTCTACTGGTAGCTATCCGTGCCGCGAGAGGTTTTAAAAAGTGGTGGGGACAATATCGACCATGGCAAAAAGTGGTGGGGACATGTCCCACCCGCAAATTACGCCCCTGCTGTTCCTCTTTAACTCTCTGGGGTCGGCGGTCTCGCCGGCGATACCAGCTCACTTTTTTCCTTATCAGTGCAAAAGAGACTCAAATTACTCTGTTAATTTTGATCTTACATATAAGTGTTGTACATCATTAGATCCTGTTAAGTTTCTATTTTTTTTGTGGATACTCACAATAAAAACAAAGTGTTGTGCTTTTCACCAAATAAAGAAAAACAAACATGATGCGAGTTTTGCGTTCTCTCTGTCAGTGAAGTCCATTCTGAAACGCGTCCTAAGATTAACTGTAACTCCGCGATTACTTGTCACACAGGCACGAGAGGTTTTTCTTTATGAAGCTTGAATTCTCTTCTTTTAAATGAAGTAATTTATATAAAAAACAAATATTCTCAGTTTATGCAATCTGTATGAAAAGAGAGTGCTGTCAGTATTTTTTCCCCCAGCTCATTACACTTCATTACGCGTTAATCTGACACGCCCACGGACGACGCGCGCTATTCAAACGCAAATGTCGAGGCAAGCCATGACAACGCCCACATCAGCTGTTCCACCGCGGCGGTAAAATGTGTGGTGTATTTGCTGCCTTTTACCGCTAAGAGGCGCTACAATCATAGACTCTGAAAAGTGTTCGTTTATTCCGGTTTATTCTCTCTAATGCGTAATCTGCTGCCGCACCGCGCTGATTCAGAGCGATTGAAAGCTGGTAGCAGAAGAATTCAACAAGTGAAACGTAGTTAAAATAATTCATAATCACAATACTGAAATTAGGCTACTGAAATGTAATTGAATAAATAATGAAAACATTTCAACATAAAACATTGCAATAAAAACATTTAGGCTACATGAACGAGGCTTTACAACTTTAACAGCGTACAGACGATAGCTCAGTGATCAACGCAACGACACGAGCTTCGAGGAGCTTCAACAGACCCGAGATCGAATCTCAATGTAGCATAGATGTTGTTAACCGATGTTGTCCTACGTTTATATTTTCCCACCTTGATGCTTAAATAGGTAACTGTTTATATCTGTTTACTTATTTAAAGTCAAGAGTTTTGTTTGATTATCATTACAACATAAATTTGCTACATTCCTGTAGAACCGCAGCCGCTGCACAAACGACAAAAACTGATGAAGATTGTCAGCCGATCAGAAAATGAAAATGAAGAAGCTCGTCTTTAGTCTGCTAAATTATTGTGTAATGTAAAAGAACACTAAAATTACTTAAGTTTGAAACCAAGTTCGAACATTTCAAGGTTTAAATTGTTTAATTTAAAACAGGGTTGCATCTTGTTTAGAGTTTATTTCTTTTGCGATGCAAAATAAGAAACACTAGGCTAATCTTATTCTTGCGACATTTTAAATTTGTATTGCCAAAGAAATTACAGCTAAATTAAACAATTAAAACAGTAGGCCTACAAAACGAAAATTGTCCAAAGAAACATAATTAAATTAAAAACATGCGTTTCTCTTTGCCTCTCTCGCGCTGGATCTCTTTTTAACAAGTTTATTTAGTCTCCCTCGCTGCGCGCGCGGGTCTCTCTCTCGAAATTAATCATTTCAGGGTAAAAACACATCATACAGCTGATAATACTGTATATGTCGCTGCGTGTCAGCCATACAAATCACGAAAAAATTATTTAACCTTTAATTGTTGCTTCAAAGACACAGCATGCCTTGTTGAATTCACCTTACAATAACTTCAATTGAAATTTTGTGTGAAAAAAAAACTTTAAATAGGCTACAATAAATAAACTACAATATTTATAATTTAATAAGATATGGGGCCTACATTTGGACACAGATTTATCCTTACAATAATTTTGCCTGCTCATCAGGCTGGCTATCCGACACTCTCCATATGAAAGAGGAACATTAACACCTTTGTCCAGCAACTGTCCCTCCAACCCCCCACAGGCTATCGGAGTCTGAGGCTGACTTAACACAAAGAGAAGTCGCAATTCACACTTAAATCGCCATTCTAGACAGTGTTGATAATGAAGGAATTAAATGATTTAAGTTACATGTAGCCTAGTGATATTTCTGTCATAAAAGTTTATTACTAAATATTTCATTATTTCAATAATTGATGAAATAAAACTGGTTTGGGGCAGCTTTTTCCAAGCAAAACTAAATATAATCTGAAAAAACGCTTGTGAATTTGTTGTCACTTAATATTAAAGTCTACAGGGATCTTTGGATCCTTACAACCAGGCATGCAATTTGTGAATTAAGTTTTTATTTTATTTTGTATTATTCAAATAAATATCGAAACACGGTGCTTCGTGGTAATGCTGCTAAATTAAATAACATTTATAGAATAATTATGAACTTAAATGAAACAATATCGCAACATTTCGACAAATACATTATTATGTTTTTACATTTTAATTCAGGGCGATTTAGCCTACATTTAATTAGAGCGAGATTTTCACCCATGTCTTGTCATTTTCTCATTGGGAAGCGCATGTTTGAGTAGATCCTCTGTACCTCTCGTTTTCATATGGATTAGCCTACATAATCAGATAACATTTATTAGCCTAAATATTTAGACATTTAAAGGCTTTAGACATAGCCGATTTCTTATCGTGACTGAGCTGAAGTGGCTTTCGGTTCATTTTTGTGACGCGCAGTTCCCGGAGACAGAGAGGACAGATATACTGTTTTTGTCGTTAGCCTAATATGAATACAAGTTTACAGTTTTGAACGATGTAAGCTACTCTACTCTTATCTGTATGACCAAAAAATTACGGAGTCGCCTATTAAGTTATTTTAGCTGTAATAATGAGATAAATAAATTAATCTAAATGAACGCGCCGCCGCGTTTGTCGAACACTAACTCACGATGCCAGAATAAAACCCGACTTTAGAAAAATGCATAGGGTCACTCGGCGTGGTGTGCCAAAACACTTAATTATAAACTTCAATATTTCATTCAAAATAATCTCAACACGCTTTGTGAAATTTTGAAAAGCCGTGCATGCATTAAGGCCACTGGAACTAATGAACAACTGAAACGCTGGTTTTGATTTTATTGTTTTTCGTTTAAACGTGCCTGTTGCATATCTCTATTTGATATTGGTGAAGTAGCCTATAGCATTGATTAGCTGTGGAGGGAGGGGTGTGGGGATTAAAATAATTCAGCAGAAGTAGGGATGTTTAGACCAGAAGGAAATCCCAGTCCCCCCTGGCAAATCACACTTTACTTAAAACCATGTTTTTAAAAACTCTAGGTTGTAGGGAACAGACCTCTCTGCCATGCGCGCGCACGGTTTGGAGCACAATATCTGTCTCGCATGCACGCTCGCTCTAAATAGATTACGGGATATTTTAACTAATTTACGGTATAACTAGTCGATCACGAGTGGCTCAACAGGTAGATCTATAGATAAACTATATCTTTCAGGAATTTGACCGACCGGGTTGACACTTCAGCGTGAGAAATCGGGGGGGTGGCGTGAGAGCCTGGAATAAAAAAATAAAAAAATATATATAGCCTATATAAAACAAAACTGTATGGTGTAACAGAGTTTTAGAGCTAGACAAATCTCTCTGCAATAATAAATATAAAATATACAGCAGACCATGTTTGTGCGGGATTTGAACCTGTGTCATCTTGATGATGAACCATCAGTTCTACCGCTCGGCTATGAATTTTGTTACTGAGAAATAACCAAACGTTTGATTCTCACATGAGCGAGAAAACGTTTTGTCTTTAGCCTGTGAGTGTAGGCCTACTTTAACCTTTTACAGTTTTAAAAGATTATATCTTATCTGTATGACCAACAATTTGTTGTAGGCTTATTTGGAAATTACCATAACTTGTAGTATTTCATCCTTAGGCTACTGTTAATAGACATTAGCCCCACTTACGTTTTGCTAAATGTCCCTTTGCGCCACCTGGCGGTCATTTCGCGTACGACTTTGAAATGCGACTGGTTTATTTTTACCGCGGTGGATGGCTAAAAATGGTATGTGGATGGCTAAAATGTGTGACTAAAAATGTGCTTTTGGCTTTCATTTATATTTTGATTGTTTGTATATATATATATATATATATATGTATATGTATATATATATATATATATATATATATATATATATATATATATATATATATATGTATATATATATATATATATATATATATATATATATATATATATATATATATAATGAGCCTTTCATTCAGGGGTGTCACACAAGAAAGAATGCAAGGACAATATATATATATATATAAATAAATAAATATTTATATACACACACACACACACACACACACACACACACACACACACACACATATATATATATATATATATATGTGTGTGTGTGTGTGTGTGTGTGTGTGTGTGTATATAAATATTTATTTATTTATATATATATATTGTCCTTGCATTCTTTCTTGTGTGACACCCCTGAATGAAAGGCTCATTAGTATGCAGTCTGCTCAGGTGAGAACTGCCTAATTATTCATGAGGGGGTTGGGCCGATCCGCCCATCCGCATATTGCCTTTGCAAACAAAAAAATGTTTTTCACAATTTAAAACAATCTATTGTTTTATGTGAATGATTAGCCAGAATGATTTTCAGATCAATTTGAAGCAAATACTCTAGGCGACAACATCCACTAGTCAAAAGTCTTGTGGACAGATATTTAGTATGTTATTTGTGGCCATATATTAGAAAATTTATTTTTTAGTTTTTTCAATAACCACGCATAAACAATATTCTCTCAAAAATACAAACATGTACATACATGTTGCTCACATATAATGGTAGCCCTGTGTGTGCTATATAGAGTGTAATTTCACCTGTGCCATTAATATGTTTATAAGCAACTGAAAAATGCACAAATGTCAGAGCATGCCAAAACATCTCAAGGACCCCGAAAACACCTCAGACCCCAGAGGGTTAAACATCATGCCCTGCTCGCTGAGAACAATACACTCACTTTATTTTTATTTTTTTAAAAGCCCTTCTTATCACGTCATCACTTCTCAGTGTAACTTATTTCTGCAGTGAAGAGGATCAGACTCACATAGATTCAGTTTAACAGCGTCACTGATCTCTGACTTCTGTCCATCACTTCTTCTCTCTCCTCTACAGGTGACGCTGCTGCGTCTGTGAGATACACCAGTTTCGAAGCTGAATTCTCTGTCAGAGCTAAAGGGCCGAGATGATCCGTCTCTAAACCAGCTGTATGTCCAGTCGTCTGCATCTCCTGGTATTTCACATCTGACAGTGACGGTTTCATGTATGCCTGGCTCTGTCTTCACTACAGCCTTTAGTCTCTCTATAACATCACATAAAACATTCAGATGTTTAAACATTAATCATACAAGACATTTGTATCATACACAGCTCAGCAGTATCATCAAGGACCCATTAAATGTCATGAACATTTGACACGCTGCTAGGCTTTCTGTTCCACTGTGTTATTGTATATAAGATTTGAAGAAAATATAAATGTATAAATCACCTTGAGTTTGTCCGGGATGGATGTTTGAAATCAGCACTAAAACACACACACACACACACACACACACACACACACACACACACACACACACACACACACACACACACACACACACACACACACACACACACACACACACACACACACACACACACACACACACACACACACACACACACACACACACACACACACACACACACACACACACACACACACACACACACACACACACAGGGTGGGGGAGATAAATTAAAACATGCAGAAAACTTTTTTAAAATAGAAAAAACAGAAGGAGTGACAATGTTGATTTGATGCATTGAATTGATATTGAGCATGAAAGAGGAAGTGTGAAGAAATCATCTTCATTGCTAAGAATATGTGATGCTGTCATGCTACAACTGAAACCCCAAAGTGAAGAGAAGCTCAAGCCATCGGACTGCAGATCTAATTTTGCGTGCCATCAGTGCTTCATATAGGAAGTGACATCATTGCTCATTAATGTCAGTCAGCACATCACAAGAAGACTAAGATACACTTACAGTTTTTTTCGATCGCTAAACGACAGTGAGCACAACTGGAGCTATGCGTAAACTCTAACTACAGTCTGCACAGCAGCAGTTCATGTGGACCAAACACTAGTTCATTTTTCAGTGCTTGAACACAGTTTTCAAAACTCTACACACTTATCCCATGACTTTAACCACAACCTGCACAACACTGTGGATTTACAGCACTTTGTTCAAATGCTAACACACTGCTGTCAAAACTGTGAACCACACATTCAAAACAGAATAGATTTCAGCTTTGTGCCTTTCAAACACTGCTGATTGCAATTTCAGCTGAAAGGCTAAGCAGGGGTCTTGTTTTAGACTTGTTAGTGAACACACACAAATATATATATATATATATATTTATATATATATATATAGGTAGAGCTCAGAAAGACTAATTTTGGAAATGGAACAAGGAAGACGGGTTCGTGGAGGGAGAAGGGTGGCAGGGAGAGGGCGGGTTCGTGGAGGGAGAAAAAGAAGACAAAGAGCTGTTATTTCAGATGAAATAAGGGCTACACTTATAGACCATGTCGTGAACCATGGTCTCTCATTGAGAGAGGCAGGGTTGAGGGTGCAACCCAATCTGCAAAGATCCACAGTGGCATCTGTAATGCGAATTTTCCATCATACAAACAGGTGAGAGTTACATCCTTACAATAAATAAAAGCATTACAGGAAATTGTTTTGTATTGCAATTATAGAATATTTACACAGATATAGAGGAAGGAATGTTATAGGTCAAAGGGCCACTGTGTAGGTTCCAGGCCAAAGGGGGGGAAATATCACCATGTGTGCTGCAATGGCCAATGATGGTTTGCTTCTCAACACACCACTCATTGGCTCATACAACACAGAAAGGCTTATAGCTTTCCTAGAAGAGCTCTATGCTCAGCTAGTGCCAGCAGAACAAGGGGAGCCAGTAAGCAACCCCCAAGTTTTTGTCATAGTTTGCGATAACGTTGCTTTTCACCACTCTGCAGCTGTCACAGGTTTGCAGCACATCGCAGATTTATGATTTTGTACCTTCCTGCATATTCACCCTTCCTCAACCCAATAGAGGAGTTTTTCTCTGCCTGGAGGTGGAAAGTGTTTGATCACCACCCACATGACCAAATGTCTCTTTTGGAAGCCATGCGTGCCGGATGTGAGGCCATGAGTCCAGAGGACTGCCAGGGATGGATAAGGCACTCCAGAAGGTTCTTCCACAGGTGCATGGCAAGAGAGAACATTAGATGTGATGTTGACGAACACCTGTGGCCTGATGCTGGAGAGAGGCAGGATTAGCCCCTCAATTATTTGTTAGAATTACAGTATGTACTTTTAGTTTCTACCTTTTTTCTCATTACTGTAATTCCGTAAATTACCGTACTACAGACTATTGAAGCAAACTGCTAATTTTCATTTACCTTAAAGAATTGTTATGTTCTAAAAATGTAAATAAATCATGTGAAAGAATGTCAATCTTTTCATTGAAGAAAATATTACTTTCTATGAAGTCACTGAAATTGTTCAAACTGTAAAGATGAAAAGTTAGTATTTTCTGTATTGGTGTTTGATGCTAGTGTTTTTCCTCTCAGTGTGTTCTGAGTGCCAGTGTGTGTTATCTCAGTGAGGGTTGTGCTTAGTGTTTGCTGCACTGAGCCTGTTTTGAGCCATGTGTTAAGAGTTGTGTTGCTTTGAGTGAGTTTTGCAGGTGATGTGAACTGTTTAGCTCAGGGGACTGCTGGTAGTGCAGACTGTAGTTAGAGTTTTGCACATGTAGCTCCAGTTGTGCTCACTGTCGTTTAGCGATCGAAAAAAACTGTAATATCCACTATGCTAAAGATCTGAGATGCTAAAGCTCTACTGAAGACAACAAAGTAACTTTACAGAACATGACAGAGTGTGTGATTCAACACATGAACCATTACAAACCGTAAACTGAACGACTGAGAATCACAGTAATGATCAATACACTGATCTCATTCAGCTAGAGTGTTTTTCCCTTTCACACACACACTGTAAAAAATCACCAGGAATTCACAGGATAAAAGAGTATTATTTTTTTTACAATAAATTAACAGTGTGGATATCAGGAGCTACAGATTGGTTTGATACTCAAATTATTAGCAGCATAAATGAAAAACAGATTCAATACATAAAAAAGATGAAATACAGATGAACAGCGATTCACTATCATTATACAAAATGTGCAAATGAAGCATAGATGAGATATATACTCACAGAGCATTAGAGGAAGTGTCCTGAGCTCCATACTGGTCTATGACACACTGTCAAACACACAGTCAGTCTTATAGACTCAACACTTCCTGAACAAACAGAAGAAACCGTAGTTCACAGGTCTGAGTCGTAGCCAAACAACCCTTTCTGCTTATTATACTTCCCTGACTTTAGAACCGGATAAATAAAAAAAACTATATCGTCTTTTAAGAAATTGTGAAAGAGTTCCTCATAATAAAGAGCCTTGAATACATTTTAAGAAAAGTCTTATTAGGCATGTTCATATCTAGGCTACATTACACCGATGGCTTGTTAAAAAGGAATGGATGCAAATCTACATCAGACTGAATTGGGCTGTATGCAGATCACTTTAAACCAAACATTATGAATTACATGTCAGACTAGTCAAAAGATGTATTGACAAGTGTTGACAGTCTCAGAGCCTGAGAAAAGGGAAGTATGAAAACACCAGAGTTCCCTGGGTGATTTTGCAACACAGCGACCATGTGCGGTCCAAAGCCAATTTGATCAGTTTTCATCTCTGTAGAAGGAGAGTGTGAGATGTATGAGTGACTGGCCGATCAGTGTGAGTGATTTAAAGCCAAACTGCATCATTATCTACAGCTGTCAATCAAACTTCTGCAGCTATAAAGGTTTATATGTGATAATATCATGGTCTTTACAATGATGATCTGTGTACATGATTCAAAACTGGTTTCGAGACCCTTGATAATACGTATTCTGTCATTATGTTGGCACTTGATTCGAGTCTGAATTGGTTAAACCCACATCAGCAGTGGAAAACATGTCAAAGTACAACTGACAGACTTTCTTCCGCTCGCAGGCCTCTGACGCTCACTGTGGTTGCAGGCGGTTTATATATATATCTATAAGTGTAGAGAAATGACATGATGATCACAACAATGAGAATCAGGGTGGAGTTCGCATCTTATTACTCAGAAATTAAGATAATGGAAACAAACACTTCCCTGTTAATTTGCTATATATATATATATATGTCATAGTATCAACTTTTTAAACTTCCTGTTATGGCAGAAAATATATAATGAAACCTTAATTTGATAATGTAATTTCTGTTGTCTGATTTGAAAGTATTGCCGTATAATCAGGGCCATTAGCTGTTTATAAGCTTTAAATATTTGACAGTCAGATAGTTTCTTAACCCTCGTGTTGTGTTAAAAACCCTATAACACTTGTGATGTTCCCGGTTAAAAATGACCGGCCTATAGCTTATAAATCACTTGTTATAGGCTACTATATTAATAAGTCATTACATTTATATAGCGCTTTTCTCTGCACTCAAAGCGCTTTACATAGAAGGGGGGGATCTCCTCAACCACCACCAATGTGCAGCTCCACCTGGATGATGCGACGGCAGCCATATTGCGCCAGAACGCCCACCACACACCAGCTTACTGGTGGAGAGGAGACAGAGTGATGAAGCCAATTGGTATATATATATGGGGATGATTAGGAGGCCATGATGGACAGAGGCCACTGGGCAAATTTGGCCAGGATGCCGGGGTTACACCCCTACTATTTTTAAAGACATCCTAGGATTTTTTGTGACCACAGAGAGTCAGGACCTCGGTTTACGTCTCATCCGAAGAACGGTGCTCTTTGACAGTATAGTGTCCCCATTACTATAATAGGACCATAGACTGTAAAAAAATGTGGACGTAGTGTCCGTGACGTCACCCGTAGGTTTCTGAAGAGCGTTTTTGAAGCCTAAAGTGGGCGTGGCCGGCCGTCGCCATCTTGGCAGCGCGTCACCTCTCGTCACTACCGGATAACAGAAAATGGGCAAAAAGGCAGGACGTGGGTGGAGCTACTGGCCTCGCGTTAAAGTGACAGCTGATTGAAGAATTAAAGCCAATAGGTAAAGTTCATGTTTTTGCCCTTCGAAATATTATAATAGTTAAAAGACGTAACTAAAAGTGAGACTGTGTATCGTAATGTATTATTAGTCTGCTATAAAAATGTATTATCATGCAGTAACTTACAACATTGCTCTGAGCTTATGCGTTTGACAGTGATTCATGCGCACATGTCAGTCAGCAGGGCATCGCATGTCAAGTTCGTGAAGAGCTTTGTTCAGTCCATTTTAAAATCTGATTTTGGCCACCTCTCAATTTCTCAAATGGGTTAAACCAAAGATATTACCTCAGAAGTTCAAGTAAATGCACTAGAAATCCGCGCTCATTCAAGGGCCGGTGTGCATCTAACGTTACTGCATGGACGGAGAGCACTGACACTGCAGGATTTCATCTGACGGTACTTCTCAGAGCATGTGTTGAAAACGACACATGTTGTGTTGTTTTCAACACATTTGTTTTAAGAGTGTAGCATAACAAGTGATTTGTAAGCTATTTTTTGTAGGCCGGTCATTTTTGACCGGGAACACCACGAGTGTGACTATGTGCCATTTATTTTACAAAATAAAAGCATTTTAAAACAAACACCCTGGTGAAACATTAAAGCACACTGTAAAATATGGATATTTTTCTTACAAAAACTCATGGCTTGGCTTCAGAAGGCCTTCATTAACTCCCGAAGCCGTGTGGAGTTCATTTATGATGGATGGATTCACTTTTTTGAGCTTCAATCTTATGGTGTTTATTAAAGGGTTAGTTCACCCCAAAATGAAAATGATGTCATTAATGACTCGCCCTCATGTCGTCCCAACCCCGTAAGACCTCCGTTCATCTTCGGAACACAGTTTAAGATATTTTAGATTTAGTCCGAGAGCTTTCTGTCCCTCCATTGAAAATGTATGTCCGGTATACTGTCCTTGTCCAGAAAGGAAATAAAGACATCATCAAAGTAGTCCATGTGACATCAGTGGGTTAGTTAGAGTGTTTTGAAGCATCGAAAATACATTTTGGTCCAAAAAAATAAAAAATAAAAATATTAAGCATTGCATTGTCTTCCGGTTCTGTTGTGGCTCCGCGTTCAGTGCCGCTGCTGACGTAAGACGCTGCTGACGTGTGTCTGGTGTGTGTGTGTGTGTATTCGGGTTCAAATAAATATGGCTGGGCAAAAAAATGCAAGTCTTCCTCTGTGTGGAAATCTTTAGACATGTTTGCGAAGATTGTTTTGTACAGCGTGCGTCTCCCTCAGACTGTAAACGAAGCTCGGGCGCACCAGACACACACACACACACACACCAGACACACGTCAGCAGTGTCTTACATCAGCGGCGGCACTGAACGCGGATCCACAACAGAACCGGAAGACAATACAATGCTGAATAAAGTCTGAGTTTTTGTTATTTTTGGACCAAAATGTATTTTCGATGCTTCAAAACACTCTAACTAACCCACTGATGTCACATGGACTACTTTGATGATGTCTTTATTTCCTTTCTGGACAAGGACAGTATACCGTACATACATTTTCAATGGAGGGACAGAAAGCTCTCGGACTAAATCTAAAACATCTTAAACGGTGTTCTGAAGATGAACGGAGGTCTTACGGGCTTGGGACGACATGAGGGAGAGTCATTAATGACATAAATTTCATTTTTGGATGAACTAACCTTTTAATATAACTCTGATTGTATTCGTCTGAAAGAAGAATGTCATATACACCTAGGATGGCTTGAGGGTGAATAAATCATGGGCTAATTTTCATTTTAAAGTGAACTACTCCTTTAAAATAAAGAAGATTGACATATAAGATACTTTTTTTCTCATAGCTCTCCTGCATGGTCCTTCATCCAAACAAATTTGCACTTATCTTAATTTAGGTTTATAGTTTACAGTAATGATTTATGAATTCTCATGCGAAAATATATAAATCAAGCTCAAAATCTCTACAATTTACATATTTTGTAATGGATTTATTTCCTAAAGAGGCAGCAACCTCTACAACATAATCCTTGATGTTGGCATGTCTAATCATGTCAGTGTTTAATTTAATAACAATGAAGCTTTAGTGTTTGAGAAAAATAAATTGGCATTAATGAATTGTTAAAGAAATCATGACCAACATTCTGTTATGTTAGAATGACCATGCTTGCACATATACCAATACATTTATAAGTTGTATTCATCGGTTCAAAAATATCTTAAATATGCGATCAGTTGCCATTGAACTTTATTCAGGGTTCTTGCATCTTTATAACATGTGGAAATCATCAGTGACCGGAGATGCAGAGCAGTTACACATACAGATGTGTGTGTGCTTCAAGCTGCACAAAACAACCTCTGAATGAAACAATCCACAAGTCCCTCAGCGATCTTCCTTACATTAAAGCCATTGTCAAAGTGCTAGTTCCAAAACCAGGATGACACACTCAGTAGTTTACTACTGTTAATACACAAAATTACATAAAATATACACGCAGCCTTGTTCATTGCAGGTGAACGCTTTGGATTTGATCGGACGGTTCTAAAATAAATGTTGATTTTTCGCGTGTTTTAGTCTTAAAATGAAGTTCAATCTCTCTACTCGGTGTGTACATTGTTTTTAATCTATTAAACTATTTTACAAATCCAGTTTTATTCCAAATATGAAAGGAGAAAACACAAGCAAAGGCGTTAGTGGAGGAGCAGACGCTGAACAGAGCAGGTTGAGTCTACACGGTTCTCATGCGGCTGTTAAAGGCGCAGCGGCTCATTGTTGATCACAGTCAGATTGTGTGAGTCCAGATTCACTCAGAGAAATCATGGCAGAAACCGCTCCAGCATCCGCGACTAAGGCGGCCAAGAAGAAATCAGCCGCCAAAAGCAAGAAAGCGGGTCCAGGCGTCCGCGAGCTGATCGTCAAGGCTGTGTCCGCATCTAAAGAGAGGAGCGGTGTGTCCCTCGCCGCCCTGAAGAAAGCGCTCGCTGCCGGTGGATACGATGTGGAGAAGAACAACTCCCGCGTCAAGACCGCCATCAAGAGTCTGGTGACTAATGAAACCCTGGTCCAGACTAAAGGAACCGGCGCCTCGGGCTCCTTCAAGCTCAACAAGAAACAGACCGAGACCAAGACTAAACCCGCCAAGAAAGCGGCTCCTAAAGCCAAGAAGCCCGCAGCCAAGAAACCCGCAGCCGCGAAGAAGCCCAAAACTGCAGCAGCAAAGAAGCCCGTCGCTAAGAAATCCCCGAAGAAGGTGAAGAAACCCGCCGCTAAAAAGGCAACGAAGAGCCCCAAGAAGACAAAGAAACCAGCGACTCCTAAGAAAGCAGCCAAGAGCCCGAAAAAGGCAAAGGCAGCAAAACCCAAAACGGCGAAACCTAAAGCAGCCAAGCCTAAAAAGACAGCAGCCAAAAAGAAATAATCTCATTTCTCCCATTTTTTTTTTCAAATCACAAAGGCTCTTTTAAGAGCCACCCACTAATTCATAGTAAAGAGCATTCTATATCGGTAATTTGTTCAATGTGTCACTGGTCACCGCGAGAACAAAATAATGGGCCCTTTAAGTTCATGTGCAATAAATACATTTCAACATTAAATTTGATGATAATGTGAACGTTTTGATGAAACAATCAGAAATGTTTATAGCAGTAAACTATAAAACTTCACAGCTTCAAGACCAACTTGATACATTTTAATCAATTATGTTTGATTTCAACCAGACAAAGTAAAAATGGGCAAGGCAAGTTTATTTGTAAAGCAGTTAATACATAATGGTAATTCCGAGTACTTTGCATAAATAAAACAATGGACAGATTTTTTTTAATAAGAAATAAAAACTGTAGAAATTAATTAAAACTAAAATACATTAAAAGGAAGCTAAGAGGCTGTTAAATGGAGGTACTGCTGTGATTGAGGTGTCAGTAGCAGAAAGGGGGGTTGGGTGTTTGGAGGGAAGCCCACTGATTGGCTCGATAATGTGTTCAGGCTCCAGCCAATAGGAGATTAGCGAGTTTTCATTTAAAAGGGCAAACACAACCTCGGAAGTGTTACTTTCTTTGAAGAACATCAACTGTTAGCTACAATGAGCGGAAGAGGTAAAACCGGGGGAAAGGCTCGTGCCAAGGCCAAGAGTCGCTCTTCCAGGGCGGGACTGCAGTTCCCCGTCGGCCGTGTTCACAGGCTTCTCCGCAAAGGCAACTATGCCCAGCGCGTCGGTGCCGGAGCTCCGGTGTATTTGGCCGCTGTGCTCGAGTATCTGACCGCTGAGATCCTGGAGTTGGCTGGAAACGCCGCTCGGGACAACAAGAAGACCCGCATCATCCCTCGACACCTGCAGCTGGCGGTGCGCAATGACGAGGAGCTGAACAAGCTTCTGGGTGGCGTGACCATCGCTCAGGGTGGTGTGTTGCCCAACATCCAGGCCGTGCTGCTGCCCAAGAAGACCGAGAAGCCCGCCAAGGCCAAGTAAACTGACGGAAGTTTCTGTTCAAAACAAAGGCTCTTTTAAGAGCCACACAATTTCTCCAAGAAAGAGTATTTCATTTGTCCGATTATTTTCTTAAATTAAAGTTCGATTGATTAAATAGAGAAAAAACACGACCATCTGTCGACAGTTCTAACTTGTACTATATAATGTTGACTATGTTATAATTCTTACGGAAACTATTTTAAAGATTCTGATAAATCAGTTTGGTTTCCTTTTTTCTATTAATTTTTAAAATCTGATAAATACTTTCATAGATCATTTTAATAAGTAACGTTAATGTTTCATTGTTGTGCAGACTCACTACACTCTTTGTAAGGATTTAATGAATGTAGCCCACTATGAAAATGCATATAGTTTAATAACGTTAGCTAACATATTTAAATCGATATATTGATATCAAAAGAAAGAAATTAAACATAATGTGGTTAAGTAATTGTACTTATCTTAGTTTTTACTATTAGTGCCACTAGTCCAACTCTAAACTTTCAATCATATTTTAAAAATCAATCACGGGTTTTGCTGTGCAAATTAATACCTGATTTCGCCTTTTTTATTTTCATACAAACGGAAACAAACAATGCATGTTCGGGCGGGAACCACAAACTCTTGTCTCTTGTTTGAAAACAGGCACAGCCATTGGCCAACTGTCATTTACAGACGCCAGACAACAACCAATAGAATGCCTCTAAAGCAAAGCCATCCAATGAGCGCATGACAGACATAGGCTTAAAAGGCGCTGTGTTCGAGTGACCTATTCATTCATTCGTGTTGTTCGCATCAGCAACTGCACTCCTTTGAAGCAATGGCGAGAACTAAGCAGACCGCTCGTAAGTCCACCGGAGGAAAAGCCCCGAGGAAGCAGCTGGCCACTAAAGCCGCCCGTAAGAGCGCTCCCGCTACCGGTGGCGTTAAGAAGCCTCACCGTTACAGGCCCGGTACCGTGGCGCTGAGAGAGATTCGCCGTTACCAGAAATCCACTGAACTGCTGATTCGCAAACTGCCCTTCCAGCGTCTAGTGAGAGAAATCGCTCAAGATTTCAAAACGGATCTGCGCTTCCAGAGCTCGGCTGTCATGGCCCTGCAGGAGGCGAGCGAGGCTTATCTGGTGGGTCTGTTTGAGGACACCAACCTGTGCGCCATCCACGCCAAGAGAGTCACCATCATGCCCAAAGACATCCAGCTGGCCCGCCGCATCCGCGGAGAGCGCGCTTAAATCACAGCAGTCACACAAACCCAAAGGCTCTTTTAAGAGCCACCTCAATGTCTCTAAAAAGAGTTGTTTTTATTTAAAACTTGGTTTATGGAACCATGTATGTTTGATACAGGTCTGCTTAAATAAGTTACTTTTCGTAACGAATGGCAACTGCACACTGTTCATATAGTTTATTTTAATATAAACATCTAATATTTCCATTAATGGTATGCAGAACGTGATGTCAGGCTTGCTTGTTCCATGAAGTGATTTTTTTTTTAAACAGTTTGCTTTGAAGGACAACTGGACTTCATTGGAGTGTAGGAGAGGCTTCTCACTGCAGATTCATGGGTGGAGTGTGAGATCCAGCTCCTCCTCTCTGAATGTAATTTGGGTAATGTATGAAGTTAGACAGTCCAACCAAACCCACCCACAACTCTATCCCTCCATCCATTAGATCCACAGAGGTGGAGCTGTACGTCAAACTCAACCCATGACGTAGAGAGAGGTGGAGCTACAAGTCATTTGCTGAGCACCAGTTGGAGAGTAGCGTGTCGAGTGACGTTTAATAGAACCACCCATGAATTTGGTTTCAACTAGGTCCGCTAGCTGACTATAAACCCTCTCCTCCAGAGATTTTTCTTTATTCAGTTGTTTTGAGTGGAAAAGTATCTGTCGTCATGTCTGGAAGAGGTAAAGGCGGTAAAGGACTCGGGAAAGGAGGCGCTAAGCGTCACCGAAAGGTTCTTCGCGATAATATCCAGGGAATCACTAAACCCGCTATTCGTCGTCTTGCTCGACGTGGCGGCGTCAAGCGTATTTCTGGGCTGATCTATGAAGAGACGCGCGGTGTGTTGAAGGTGTTTCTGGAGAACGTCATCCGTGATGCTGTGACTTACACTGAACACGCCAAGAGAAAGACCGTCACCGCCATGGATGTTGTGTACGCGCTGAAGCGACAGGGACGCACCCTGTACGGGTTCGGCGGTTAAGAGACTCACGAAGAAGAAAAACCCAACGGCTCTTTTAAGAGCCACCCACATTTACACACAAAGAACAAACTTCAAAGTGCTTATAACATATTTTAAATGCAATGAGATTATTAGTTATTTATGGTTTTAACTATCATTTTAAAGTCGTTATGTGGAAATTAAATATGCTAATATTAGCTGTGTTTCTGTAGAATGAATTATATATATTTTTTCAATCAAATGTTAAATCAAATATAAGTTGATTAAACACACCCTGACGAAGGCATAAGCCGCAACGCGTAGGTTTTTTCTACACAATTTGAGTGTCTTGGAGTATTATTTTGTTTTTGAGCTTAATTATCCCAAGCAACCAAAGGGCACCGAGATTTCACACCCTGTGCAACACTTCATTTGCATTCTTTGCTGTGATAAACTGAAATAATATATTACTTTTAATATTTAGTACATTATTGCATTCCGAAAAATGCGGGAAAATGAAACAAAGAAACCTGAGAGAATGGGGGATGGTAGTAGGACATGAGGCGATGGGCGGGATTAACATTTATAGCCTGTGATTGGCTGTCCTTCAAGTCAATGAACATTTAATGTGGCCAATGAGATCATTCTATGGGTTGGTCCAGGAAAACTACCAATCAGAGAAGGCTGTACCTCCCTTTGGAAATTAGCATAGAGCAGTGGATAAAAACCCCGCCTGTGGAAACACAGCTTTATTGTTCTTGAGTTTCACTGACTGAAGCATCATGCCTGAACCAGCGAAGTCTGCACCCAAGAAGGGCTCGAAGAAGGCCGTCACTAAAACCGCCGGCAAGGGCGGAAAGAAGCGCAGAAAGTCCAGGAAGGAGAGCTACGCGATCTACGTGTACAAAGTCCTGAAGCAGGTTCATCCCGACACCGGGATCTCCTCCAAGGCGATGGGAATCATGAACTCTTTCGTCAACGACATCTTCGAGCGCATCGCCGGTGAAGCGTCTCGTCTCGCTCACTACAACAAGCGCTCCACCATCACATCGAGAGAGATCCAGACCGCCGTGCGTCTGCTTCTGCCCGGAGAGCTGGCCAAACACGCCGTGTCTGAGGGCACAAAGGCTGTGACCAAATACACCAGCTCAAAGTAGAGCGAGTCCGCTCAACACCACACAAAGGCTCTTTTAAGAGCCACCCACAATGTCTTTTAAAGAGCTTAAAATTGCGTGGTCTCCAGACAAAATGAAACGTACATTACTTTAAACTGCTGGGCTACAAATCAGGAAATAAATGAGTTTCACTCATTTGTCATACCCTTACGCAGGTGAATGAATGTCCTATGTAATAAATATGTGAAAGATAATTGTATAAATTACAAATTTCTGCCCAATTTTAAAATGTCTAGCAACAATATTTATGGACCATTCCTGGTAATGGTTCAGTCCCCCAGGCTTTTAAAAGTGGGGGCTATTTAAAATATTTTCGAAATTAAAGTTTTTCACAATACTTTGTATGTCCATTATTATGAATAAAACAATTGCATTTAAATAATTTTTATCTTAAAATTATTCTATTATATTCTATTTTACACTAAGCATTTTGTCATGTCCCCAAGACATTTTACTGATAAAAAAATATTTAACAAAATGTGCACTGTCAATTTTTTTGGCAACATTGTAAGTATTTATTTGTGTTACTTAAAAATGCAAGATATTTTATAAAAAAACATAATATTAAGGGAAGTCCCTCAGTCTGAACTTGAACTCAACTACATCACACCAACTTTTCTCTGCATACAATAATTTAGACCTCACCCATATGTGACATAATTTACCAGAAATTACATCAAGTATTTTTAACAGTGTTGCGAAGATAGTAAGTAGTATCATACTTTTTATTAATATTGAGGCCTACAGTCAAGGGAGGGTACTGTCAAGCTTAACAACTCAACCCCATCACATAAAATTAAGATGGAAAATGATTATTTTTCACAATTTTATTTTAATCCTTAAGTATATAGAATTAATTTATTTTATTGCTGCCATATATGGTCTACTCTCCTTCACTACATGAGGAGCAATCAGTGGCCATTTTGTTTAAAAAAACCTCAACCCCGTCACACTCAACCCGTCATTGTTTTTCAAGTTTTTCACTTAATTTATGAATAATTTTAATAAGAAAATATAAAAGAGTAATGGTTTAAGTGAAGATACACTGACCAAAATCATGACAACTCATAATTTTGCTATACATTATGTAATGTATCCACTTAAACATTGACAAGCTTATAAGTCAGGTTGGGCAGCCACATCAGCAGCAGAAAGACAGTGTTGTGAATGCAAATATGTTGACCCAGAAGGAAGTGCACACTATGAGAAAGAGAAAAAAAAAAAAAATATAAAATTGAAGGCAATAGCTCCCTTCAAACCAGTTACAGTCCACCTATTTCAACCCCGTCACACTCAACCCGTCATTATTTTTCACGTTTTTCACTTCATTTATGAATAATTTTAATAAGAAAATATAAAATAGTAATGGTTTAAGTGAAGATATACTGACCAAAATCATGACAACTCATAATTTTGCTATACATTAATGTATCCACTTAAACATTGACAAGCTTATAAGTCAGGTTGGGCAGCCACATCAGCAGCAGAAAGACAGTGTTGTGAATGCAAATATGTTGACCCAGAAGGAAGTGCACACTATGAGAAAGAGAAAAAAAATATATATATAAAATTGAAGGCAATAGCTCCCTTCAAACCAGTTACAGTCCACCTACTTCAACCCCGTCACACTATTCTCAACCTCGTCACATTAATATTTTGGGAAAAAATAGGGAAGACAATTAAAAATGAAAGCTTTTCTTGCTGATTACCTGAATGTTAAGGATTAACACAATAAAATTGTGTTGTTTTTTTAAACATCTAAATTCTAAATGTATATATTTTTTTACAAAAATAAAGAGACCACAGACACATAATTTGAACACAACTTCAAGATTATCATAAATGTTACATTTGTAGTTATTAAATTGTTATGAGGGACATATGAGCAGTAGATGTATGTTTTATAACAATGTTTGTGTAAAATCTTTTTTAAACCAATTCCATTTAGTCTGTTACGGGGTTGAGAATAAAAGGTGTTTAAATCTGAAAAAAAAAAGTCTTTAATGCCTGAGGTGGGATTTTTTAAAATATTTTTTGTAGATTTGATATGTGCCTTGATGTGTGGTATTTAGACAATGAATTATAAAAAAAAAAAAAAAAAAAAAAAATTCCAAGTTGAAATATTACCGAATCCCAGGAATGACTCTTATAGTAAATTGTAAAATTTTGAAGTATTATGGGAGTTCTGGCCATGTTTAAAAAGTGTTATCAGACAAGCTCATGTGTGGAAGATTAATAATGTCTATATATGTATGTTTACGGCAGTTTGGAGAATGTCACTGTTTTATATGTTGTCTGCTATTTAACCTATAACAGGGATTTCCAAACGCTTTGTCAGTCAAATTAATTTGACCTAACATTTACTTGAAGTATGAGTTACTATTTTAGCAACTCATCAGCACGTGTTTGCATGCGTTTCCTCTGTGTGCTCCGGTTTCCCACACTATCCAAAGGCATGAAGCATGTAAATTGGAGTCTGTATGTGAATAAGAGAGTGAATGTGTGTGAGGCCTGTGATGGACTGGCCACCTTTGTTTCCTTTCCCTCAGCCCGAGATGGACAGAGGATTAGCGTTTTGGAGAATTGATGGATTGTTGGGATCGAATTAAGCAATCCTCAGTTTGGGAAACCCTCATCTAAAATTTTTATTTTTTATCATTAGCAGCCTACTATTTTTTTCATTGGTAAAAGTATTGGAGGAGGTCTGTTCTCTTAAAATGTCATGTCCATACAATGTCAAAACATAGTATCTGTTTGCAGCTTTTACTGGTGGCAATCAATTTCATAAGCATCATATTTAACAGACATATCTGCCATGAAATCTCATCACTCTGTGTCAGTGGAAAGAGCATTTCTCATTAGTTGGCCTGTTATAATATTCTGTAAAATATGTTTATTTTTGTGGAATACTAATAGTTTACAATTAATTTCAATTATAAAATGCCTTTCAAAATATTTAACTAAATTCACTAATTATATAAGATTCAGTTAATTACACTGAGAAATTGTTTTAGACCATGTTGTGGCAAAAATTCATCTCAAACAAACATCACTGCGTAAGAGACACTCATAGTCAAATTATATAAAATAGAAGTATTTATTCTTGCAAGAATAGGAGCAGTCTAATACACAGTTGTTACCCTGTGCAGAAGAGTGACACACCCCCAGACAGACTGAACTAGCTTTTATCTTAGTTTCAAGGCCTTCTTCCCCCCAGAGCCTTCCTCCCAGTAGTTTTCCATAGACGTCACTAGTTGGCCCAATACGCCCCCCTGCACCAAAATGGCCTTCTGACATCTAGGTCAGAGGTCCTGTTCGTCTGTTCTCTGGAGTGTCTCCCTCTTCTGCCTCCCCAGGTACATAAACAGAATCTTCTCTCACTACAAGTGAGACACACATGTGACATTCTTTGAATCATCTATATTTTACTAAAGATCAATGAATATCATTAAAATTGCCACTACAACTCCTCACTTTTTATCATTCTGATTACCCATAATCACAATAATAAACAATAAAACAAATTTTAAGTCATATCATCACACTTATACTCTTTATCTCTGATTTTTGCATAAATGATCACTCTCCTTGAACCTGTGAAGAAAAGTTTAGAATGAAGAAGCATAAGGCTGTTTTTGTGGGGGAAAGGCCCCGTAATATTTTAGCTAGCAAGTAAACATGTTTAAGGTGCCGGGCTAAGCGAGAAATCTCTGTTCCTGCGCTCCTGTAAACAGACCCTCAGTCACGCCAGTAAGGAAAAAGGTAGTTATAACATAGTAAGGAAACAAACAGATAAAAGTATAATAAAAATCACTCAGTTTCAAACCCTATCTTTGTACGCCATCTCGTAACACGGATGACCGCTGCTTGTAACCTTCTTTAAATCTTTTGCCCTTAATCTTTCTCAGAAAATAAACAAATAGAAGAAAAACAAACAGAACATACATTTAACACATATCTCACTGTAGCTCCCGCTACATGTATCGTCACATAATTTTGTTCATCCTTGGGATAGACTGTCATTTTCACCAATTGAACAGACAGCATGTTTCACCTGTCACTGTAATCATATTCACCCATGAATAACAAAATTATTAGAATAACAATCCTTACTCCTATCATTAAGCCTTTTCCATTATTCTACGCCCATCTCCATATTTCACCTCGGTTTTCCTAACCATATTTTGTTCACTTTTAATTCAATTTAGTAAGCTCTATTTAATGCCATATTTAACAAAATCTAACCAGAGAAGTCTTATAATTTTATCCATTCTTCTAACCAATGCAGTTGTTCAATATTAACTCTAATATTTCCATTACAGACACAATCAATATATTTTCTACATTTACAATCAAATCAATACCTAGTTTGATTCAATCAAACAAAATCATCACAAAAACAGATTCTTCTGTTAAACTTAAACCATCAGTTGTGTTGATCATCTCGTTCGCCCCATGGACTATGGGATGGTTGTGGCCTGTCGGTGTTGTCTAAGGTGAGAGGCTTGGACCCAGGTGTCACACTCTCCAACCATTTTCTGATCCTTATAAGGTTTTCCCTTATATCACGACCGCACCCCCACTGGAGTGAACTGTCACCTGTGAATGGAGACCTTAAGTATTTTGTTAGTGACCGCTTGACAGCCGCTCGTCCCCTTTGGTGTGACCTGTGGAATCAACAACTTGAAACATATTATCTTAATAGCACTCGGGGTCCTTTTACCCTGAAAAACACTCAACCCACTTTGCTCATGTCCACAATATTTATACATTTGGAACAGAATTAGTTCTGTTTGATCCAATCCATCCTGACATTCTGTAAAAGGAAAATTTTATGTTATGCGCTGCGCAGGTGTAGCACCTTTCTGCCACAATAATAACCCAGGCCAGGATAGTTAGCCAAATTCATCCATAACCATTATTTTATTGGCACATTTTGCCCTGTCTCCCAATCCTGCATGCTCTCTGTAAAGAGAAACAAATTTCGAGGTTATTGTCAGATAGTAAAGTACGCAGTTTCTTTTGTCTACTGTTCTCCCGTGTCCT